TGAGCCTCAGCTTCCCCGTGTGGGCGGACACGGACTCACCTGAGGCGGCCTCGCGCACACGTACATCGACTCTGGACTGCAAATGCGCATGTCGACAAGGGATTGCGCAGGCGCACACCGCCACTGGCCTCGGGGACACAGCCTGACACGTGACTGTACATGCGCACAACACAGGACTGTGCATGCGTATGATGACACGCTGCTGCGCACAAGCCAACCAGTGACTGCGCAGGCGCACGCCGACATGCTGCGCTCAGACGTCACTGAGGGGAGTGTCCGCTGCTTTGCCGCTGTCTCTGTAGAGGAAGAGTGCGGGTCCTTGTAGGAAACATGAACCCTGACTGCTGCTCTGCATGGCCCTGCAAGTCCTCGCCAGAGCAGGTGGGCGAGAAGAAGCCACAGAAGCGTCCGAATTGGGAAGGAAGAAGCCATGTCGGCTCTCTTGGCTGATGACGCCATCTTACCTAAGACTACCTCTCTTTGCTGATGACGTCATCTTACCTAAAGACAACCCAACGTCTCAACCAGAAACTGCCCTCACTGGTCACCGTCAGGTCACAGGATCGCGGTACACACACGAACTCCCGTCAGCGCTCCAAGGGAGATCCACACAGCTCCACTTAGCAGAGCCCAGACCTCCAGCAGCCTGGAGTGAAACAAAACTCATGATTTACATGGAACCACAAAAGCCCCAAATATTAAAACCACCGTGAGACTAAAGCCCCAAGCCGAGGTATCTCACAGTCTGATTCAAGACACACGACACAGCTGTGGTGTCCACACAGCATGGCAAGAAATACGAATACGCGGGGACATTGGGACAGCAGAGAGAACCCAGACGGACGGTCACCTGTTACAGTCTACTGATTTCTACAAGGGCATCGAGAACGCACACTGGGAAAGGAGAGGACCTGCGGTGTGGTTTGAAAACTGTTTCCATCTGCAGAAGACGGAATGAGAGCCCTGTCCATCGTGTGTGCAAAAGTCATGGCATTTTTATTGTTAGCCACCAAGGATGAATACATGATTGAGGACTTAGATACGCTCCCTCTGGTCCGCATACAGACGTGGGTCAAAACATGACACGTATAAGTAATATTGGGTCACTTAAATATCTTTAGGTCTTACCACAATCATTTTAAATTATGTGAAAGAGAACTATGTGAAACCTGAGATAATGAAACTCCTTTTAGAAAACAGAGGGGAACCCCGTGACGACGTCTGGGCAGTGATTGGTTGGCTGTGGCCACAGAAGCACAGACAACAGAAGCAAAATCCCACGGGTGGAGGAGGTCAATGCGGGGCAGCTGCTGGCGATGCTGGCATCCCAGTCAGAGTGCTGGCTTCCGGCCTGGCTGCCTCGCTTCAGACCCAGCGTCCCGCTGATGGGCCTGGGAAGGGAGCAGGAGACAGCATAGACTCGGGCCCTGGCACCCGCGAGGGAAGCAGGATGGAGCTCCAGGCCCCTGGCTGAGCATGTGCTGTTGCAGCCATTTGGGGGACTAAGTCACAGAAGTAGGATTCCTTCCTCTCTCTCTGGCTTCAGAAAAAAAAGCTTTGTGTGTGTCTGATGAGCTTTTTCTTCTGGTAATGTATTGAACGCCATCGATTCTTTAGTATCAAGTGACCGGTGCCTGCCTTCACCACCAACAACCAACCGGTGTGCTCATGATGCCTGCATTCCCCTCTCTGTATAGGAACGAGTATTCTTTGTGAGTATTTTCTTGGGAGTCAAAGTTTATGGGAGCATCCGTCCCAGGATTTCCCCATATGACTGTATCCGTCTCTGGTTTTGATAGCACTCTCTCCGTGCCTGATAGAACGTTCCTTTTTCCTGTCCTCGGGAACAGTGTATGTAAATTTGGGAGTGTGTGGGCATGCATGTGTATGTGTTTCCTACCTGCATAAATACGTGTGAGGAATTCCCATGAAGCTTTGCAGCCTGGCGTTTAGACTGAGGGAGAATGTTGGATTCCCGAGTCACTGGCATCGTCAGGTGTCAGGGCACGTTTTGGTCAGCCACAGTCGCCTGTATGCCGGCGCCCCCAACATTCTAATGAAGCTGACCGCTGCCGACCTCATCGTACTCTTGCTGCACGGCTTCTGTGTGCAGAGTCCTAGATACGCAGATCTGCACCACTGCAGGAGGACGCCCGGCCCCCGGTGGATATTCTCATAGGAATACAGCAGCGAGCTCTGCCGTTCCCAGCCCAGGAGTGAACGGCGGAGTTCAGAGTCCAGAGTGAAGTATGCGCCATCATGCAGGTGTGTGCCGGGACTCCTTGATGTCCCATGACCAGACTCACCCAGCACAGGTTCCTAGAGCCGATCCCCACCAGTACAGGACATGTGGGTCGATTTACTACAACTCCCTGTTCCCATGAATTCGGTTCCTTTTATTTATTTGTTAAAGATTTATTTATCTATATATTTGAAAGGCAGAGTTACCGGGGCAGGGGCCGGGGATGTGATCATCCGTCCACTGGTCCACTCCACAGAGGGCTGCAGTTATGGGATGCCGGCGCTGCAGGCAAGTGTGTTAAACTACTGTGCCACAGCGCCAGCCCCTTCAATCAATTTTATAGTAAGACCACTGCTCCCCGCGTATTTTAAAGGCGAGGGACATCCGCCGTGCCCAGGGTGAGGTTCAGGAGGGTCCTGAGCTCAGGGGTCCTGGGGCGGCGCTGCCCTCCAGCACCCACGTGCGCGCCTGTCCTTGGCCCAGAGCACCCCTGAGTCCTGGCCTGGGCTTCCCAGGTGCTTCCTCAGGTGGGCGCGTTGTGACCACCCCAGCCTCTGTGCCCTCTCGGAGGTCGGGGCTGGAAGGTCCACGCGCGAGCAAGGAGGGCCCAGCGTGACGTGGCTCCTCAGGCTTTGCAGACCCCGCCGTCAACCTCTCCCGCGTGGGAGACGAGGAGACGGCCTCTCCCCCGCCGGCTCTGGAGCTGTCCCAGACCCGATAGCAGACGCCACCCGGTGAGGGAAAGATTCCTCAAAAACCACAGGGTGCAGGAGACAGTCGCTGAAAGCCGAGCGCCCATTGGCTACCGTGGCACCATGTCTGCTTATACCCACAAGAACCGGTCGGCATGGGGGTGGGGTTGTTCTTCAGCCCCACCCCCGAACTAGGAAGGCGGGGTCTGGGGGCAGGGCCAGATGACGTCAGCGGCTCTCACAGCAATGGCTGAGCCCACCTCCTACCTCCTGTTAAAGATGAGGCGGGCTCATTCGCCCCTGAGCAGGAAGTCCTGCCCCCTCCTGCTTCCTGGGATCCAATCACAGAGCTCAGGAGAAGTCCACTTCCTTTGGCCCAACCATGCACAGGCCGGAAGTCAATCCTAACCCGAAGGAAGTTTGTCTTCTAAGTTGAGCGTGGTTGGTGTTGGGTGTTTCTGGGCGTCCATGTTCGCTCTGGGGCTTCTGGAAGGATTTTCTGGGTCTTGGAGCAGAACTGCCTTCGTAAGCGCCGGTTTGGAGAGGAGGCTGCCAGCGGCTCTATGCAATGTTCTTTCCCTTCTAATATTTTCTAAGGAGCTTCATTAAATATAACTTATATCCCATAGAACCTACCCTGCACAGTGCTGACCCACAGAGCAGGTCCGCCACCTGTCAGCATCCCTTGGGCCCCCCGTGGAGACCTGCCCACCCCACCCCAGTGATTTGGGAGGAAGGGCTGCCCTCGCTCAGCCTCGCGCTGCCGGAGGCACTCAGGTGCCAGTCATGGAGGCTAAGGCTGGGCCGCACGGCTCAGTTTCTCGTCTGGTGTCCACGCCCACCCACGTACCTGCAGACACAGTGTGAGGGCCACTGCAGAGCCACCTGCTGCCTCTGCTCCGTGTGGCGGGGCCAGAACCCGCCGCCTCCAGCTGGGCCTTTGCCCTTCATTCTGGGTGGGATCAGCCCCGTGGTCGTGCTCAGAGAGAATGGCCTTGGCCAGAGGGAGGGTCCTCTCAGGGAGGACCCTGTGTGCTCCCTGCTGCCATGGCTCCCTGCACGCAAAGGCCTGGCAGTGGGAACCGGAAGCATCTGACCCTGTGAGCACCGGAGGTTAATTAAAATCCCCCACCAGCGATCATATCCGGGTGACGGGGAGGCACAGGGAGGGAGGACTCAGTGGCTGTCCACGGGGCGGCTCTGGGGCAGACCAGGAAACCAGTGCTCCCCAGATCCTGTGCCCACGGCTTGTCTTTGCAAGACCGAAAGAAGCCTTTGGAATCTGGAGCAAAACAGCATACAGGCCAGGACGCTTCGGGTCCGTGGGCTCAGCAGGGGTGGTCTTTGCCACCTGTGGGACACCGGGTGGTGCTTGGGGATGCTCGTGGGCTGCTGCTACCCACGCCTCAGTGCACAGAAGGCCCTGGCCAAAACCACACCACACGGACGGTTCCAGAAACCCTGTTACAGAATGTGACAGTGGTCCTCAACCAAGGACACTTCTGCTCCCTAGGGGGTCACTGTTGGAGACAGGTTTTGTGGCAAAACAGAACAGGAGATTCGCCACACTCAGGGCTTCAAGGTGGACAGTGGGACATTAGGCGTTCACAGCACAGCTCCACCGCCCCCGCCCACTCTGAGAGCGTCTGCATCCAGCACAGGAGCCCCCCTCCCCAAGCGGCCCATCTGCCCCCACCCTCAACCCCACCCCCTGAGTCTGCCAGTCTCTCTGTCACTAGGGATTCAACCAGTGAGATTGCACCTGGGGCAGTGAGACCCCACCCACATCGGTGAGACCTCTCCCACACAGGTTGGTGACACCCCAACCATATCGGGGAGACCCCACCAAGATAGTGAGACCCCACCCGGGACAGTGAAACCAAACCCACTATGGTGAGACCCTTCCCACCCACGTCAGTGACACCCCACCTGGGGTAGTTAGACCCCACCCAGGTCAGTGGGACCCCACCCACTGGTGAGACCCCTCCCACCAGGTCAGTGACACCAAACCTACAACAGTAGGACCCCAGCCAGGACGCTGAGACCCCACTCACGTTGGTGGACCATACCACTGTCGGTGAGACCCAGCCGGGGTGGGAGAAGCTCTGGCACTTGGGCTGTGCCAGGGCTGCAGACTCCAGGGCCACCAGGTAACTCCCTTCCCCACCTCATTGGGCACAAAGGGCCCTGGAGGACAGGTCTGGGGTCCCGAGCTGTGGTCTCAGCACGAGGGGAGGAGGGAAGCCCCCGGTCTCAGGGAGTGCCTTGGTCCATCCCTCGCCCTGGGTGATCATCACTGGACTTCCAGGGTAGCAGAAATGAGCCTCTGTCTGTCACCCAGCCTGTGCCACTCGGGTACAGCGGCGGGAAAGAGATTGGGGGGGCATCCTACAGGCCAAGGGAGGGAGAGATCAGGACAAAGCCCACGACGGGAAGCAGCCCTGAAGCGACATCAAATAGTTCATGGAAACCCAAACTGTGCTCCGAGTGTGCGTGAAGTTTCAGCCGCAGCCTTGCTATGGAGGACAGGGCTGTTTGCTTTGTCAGGGGAGACCAGAGTGGGGCAGTGGTGGCCGAGCAGGTGCACACACCAAGGAGCAGATCTGCCTCAGCAGGCCGTCACCTCCACCCCCGCACCCCACTCCGTGCAGGTGACCCCGCTCTGCGGCACAGCACAGACGTCGCAGTCCATGCCGGCCTGGGCACGGCCAGCTCCCTCCTGGGTCCTCCACCTGCAGAGCCAGTCTTCAGCCAAGAGCCACGTCAGAGCCACCAGGACCAGGACAGCCAGGCCGATCCGCAGGAGGTTCTGGGCGGTGTGATCCCAGGCGGCTGGGGCTGGAGCAGAGAGGCCGCTGATGGGATGCAGCACTGCACCCACCCGCTCCTCTCCCCTCACCTCCCAGACCTTCCTCCTGCCCCCACCCTGCGGGAGCCCGGCTACTCACCGTCCTGGACTCTGGACACTGTGGTTCCAAGACGGGGTTCCCGAGAGCCTGCTGTGGGAAGGGAGGATCGGCCTTGGCTTCTGCCCACCCAGCCTCTCCACCCCACACCTCACAGGGGTCCCAGCGGCCTCACCCCACGGGCAGGGCCCCCAGACCCCAGGCAGAAGCTGGCATTGTACTATTGCGCATGCGTATCGCACACCGACTGGGGATCTGCGCCCCCCTCATGCGGGTCTTTCTCCACACACGGCGTCAAATCCAAAGCCTGGCGGTCCCCTGGGTGTCCTGAGCCACCCCCTCCCACCAGCCTCCTGCCCAGTCCCTTGTCACCGGGTCCCTTTCCTGACTTCCGGCACTGCTGGGTCGCCCCCTCTCTTTATGGAAATCTCTTCGTTCTGAGAACCAATCGACTAACGGGCTCAGTCGGCCAGTGTTCACCCAGATGTCTCCTGCGTGTGCCCAGCCAGGCGACCCTGCTTAGCCCTCCAGGGTCCCCCTTCCAGGTCACCAGCGGTCCTTGTGTGCGATGCCAGGGGGCTTCTAAAACTTCACAGGACACGGAGTTAAAAGAGAAGTTTATGGGGCCAGCGCTGTGGTGTAATGGGCTAAAGCCTCCGCCTATAGCACCAGCACCCCATATGGGAACCGGTTCGAGTCCCCGCTGCTCCACTTCTCTCCAGCTCCCTGCTAATGTGCCTGGGAAAGCAGCAGAAGATGGCCCAGTCCTTTTACCCCTGCACTTTCCATGAGCTCTCTGAACTGCCCTCATATAACACATTTCTCTCTCCCAACACCCACCCATGGATGCTCCATCCACTCTGGCCGGAATGCTTGTGCCCCAGAGACCAGGAGGTTTTTCTGGTTGACGGGCACTGCTGTATGGGTTGCCCGTCCCTTATCCAAAATGCTAGGGACAGTAAGTGCTCCAGATGGGCTTGTCCTGGGATTTGGAATATTCCCATACACACAGTGAGGTCTCCTGGAGACTGTGTTCATGCTTAAACACAAGATTCCCTGCGTGTCACGGGCCCCAGAGACACAAGCTCTGGGTAACTTCTCATCATGTCCCTAGTGCACATGCGTTCTGCATATGGACCAGCATGAGAGGTCGGGTGTGGGTTTCACTGCCAGCGGACTGTGGGCACTGAACACCACCACACCTGGGGCACCTGCACTGCACTGTGCAGGCGGGGAAGCCCACGGCAACCACGGGCACACACAGGAAGGCTCCAGCTCTCCCAAGTATGGAGGAGCAAGCTACTCACCAGGAGCAGGGGCGGGGTCTGTGGGTTCCAGACTGGGGTCTCCCACATCTGGAGACGGAGATGAAGAGGACAGGTTGGGGCTGGGGGCTTCCTCTGCTCCCTACATTCTCCTTCCCTGGCACTCTGGGGTGGATGTCCCTTCGACAGGACCCTGGGGTTTCTTTAGATGCCCAGGGAGGACATGGGAACTGGGAGCTTCCTCACCTGTGACCATGAGCTTCATGGGCTCACTGGGGAAGGACCACACATGGCCGCTATATGCGCCAAAACACCTGTATGTGCCTGTGTGTGCCCAGGTCACAGGGCCCATGGGGAACTCCGCTGGCACCGCCCCATGGCTGCCCTGTGTGTGGCTGGGCCGGCCTTCCTGGAGCAGGAAGAAAGTGTTGGTCACCATCTCTAGCTGGCAGTAGAAGGTCACATTCTCTCCTGAGGTAACCTTGGGCACTGGTTGAACCCATAGGGTGGGCGTGTCGTACATTCCTGCATGTGAAGGTGGCTGGTGTCTTCCTGCCTCCCAGGCTCCACCCCTGCAACCTCAGACCCTCCTCCTCGCCCCACACCTGCCCCAGCCACAGACATGCCCTCTCCAGCCATGCTCCCAGGTGGAGCCGCTCAGTGCCCCCAGCTTCCAGGAGTGAGGATCGGACTCTCTGGGAGCTGCTGTCCACAGGGGGTTCCCAGAGATTGGCCGCTAGGACCACAACGCCAGCACGGCCTGGGGCCACCTCAGAGCCACCAGTCAGAGACTCGGGTGGGGCAGCCATTTGCTTATGTTTTTTTGGGGGGAAACATACATAATATAGAATTCAGCATCTTAACAGCTTTAAGCTTCGCCCCGTGTCTCAACTTCTTTTGCAAGCTCAGCCCGTTCCCTCGCAGGCGGCGCAGCCCACGTTTGCCACGCATTCCCCAGGGGACACTCCGCTGCTTGCAGCTCTCGGCCCTTCTGATCCAGGCTGCCGTGACTCGGGGCCAAAGCTCTCTGTGTTTGTCACGAGCCCTCCTGCAGATCCTACCAAGTGCTTCAGTTGAGACACTGGTCCCCGGCTGTAGGGAGCGCCGTGACCCGGACACCTTCCCTCCGTGGGAGCAGCCCTCCCACAGGACAAGCCTCTCTCTCTGCCCAGCCTGCTTCTCTCGCCTGTCCCAGGGACCCGGGTGCTGTCCTCGGTAGGAGTCCTGCACCTATGCCCTGCTGGGCTTCCCTCTCCTACAGGCTCCTCCCAGAGGAAGCAGCCCCCGTTCTGACACCTGCAGAGCGTGGCCCGATGGGGCTGCCACCTGCCCCCATCACTGCATGGCAGCGGGCAGACTCACCGGTGACCACCAGATCCAGGGGCTTGCTGGGCTCTGACCAGAGCTCCCCGCTGGGGCAGAAGCAGCGGTAGCGCCCTGCAGTGCGCGAGGTCATGGCCGCGATGGGGAACCGGACTCCGCCCCTCCCTCTGGGTTGCTCAGGTCTCCCCCAGGCAGAGAGGCCCCCCTCGGAGCGCAGCTGGTACTCCTCGGCCCCGGGGAGCCCCTGGCACCAGATGGCTGCCGGCTTCCCCTCTGGAATCCTGGAGTCGGGCTCTGCCCAGATGCTGGGCCTGGTCAGTGCCTCTGGAAGGGAATCAGAACCTGAGTTTCCAGAAGGACCCCTCCCCAGCCCCCTCCCACCAGCAACAGCCCCACCCACTCCCAGTTTTCCCAGTGGTGTTGACCTCCTGGGGACCTCGAGGGTGACCCTGGGGCAGTGAAGGGAGGACTCACACTTCTGGGTGCTGATTCTCCAGCTCAGACACAGCCCTGGGAGGCAGGAACCATGGGTCATATTGCCCCCCAACCCATACCCCCGGCCTCTATTGCACTCCCGTGCCGGGACTCACTGAGGCAGAGCAGGGCCGTGAGTGGGAAGGGCATGGCACAGATTCAGGTGGGAGATGCAGCGTGGCCGGCTGGCAAGGAGCACAGCATGTGGCGGGCAAGGCCTTACGCCAGTCACCCATGGGATGTTTTTACAGGCAGGGCTACAGCCCTCCCTCCGCCACCTGACCACGGCCCCACGACAAATCCAACCACACCCGCATCTGTTACTGGAGAAAAGCAGGGTTCTTGTCTTCACACGAGAAAGAATTCAGGTGTGAGGGGCCGGCACCGTGGCTCACTTGGTTAATCCTCCGCCTGCGGCGCCGGCATCCCATATGGGCGCCGGTTCTGGTCCTGGTTGCTACTCTTCCAGTCCAGCTCTCTGCTGTGGCCCAGGAGTGCAGTGGAGGATGGCCCAAGTGCTTGGGCCCTGCGCCCCACATGGGAGACCAGGAGGAAGCACCTGGCTCATGGCTTCGGATCAGCACAGCGTGCCGGCCGCAGCAGCCATTTGGGGGGTGAACCAACGGAAGGAGGACCTTTCTCTCTGTCTCTCTCTCTCACACTGTCTAACTCTGCCTAATAAAATTTTAAAAAAAATAAACATTTAAAAAAAAAAGAATTCAGGTGTGAGACAGAGAGTAGTGGGAGGTAAAATAGCAAGGTTTATTAGAGCAGGGACATCCGTAAGGACGGATGGGCACCTCTCCAGACAGAGCCTGAGAGTGCCCAGTCGCTCGGACTGGCAGGGGGTAGTGAGGTTACATGGTTGAGTGGAGAGAGTACACCTGGGCAGGCAGTCAGGCGGCTCAGCGGAGATGCAGAGGGCTGAGCGCACCATCCGGTTGAGGCCGGGGGTTTTTAAGGAGATGGGTCTCTGTCTTCACACAGCTCCCCCTGAAACAAAGGATTTTATGGCTGTAAATATTAAGAAGCTCCTATCTGAGTTTTCCCCTGAAGGTATCAGACAGGAGGAAGCCTAGCTGGCGCCATCCTGGGTTCAGAGGAAGGGTGAGCAGGACCCCCTAGAGAATGGGGATCCGGAGCAGGGTGTTTGAAATGCAGGTAGTGGGCTGCATCTGGGAGATTGTGGAAGATTTGTCAGGCAGAATGGGCGGGACCTCCACCTGGCAGGTTATCAGGTAGGAGGGGGCAGGCAGGATGCGAAGGCCGGGCTGCCCTGAAACATTATCGGGATGACTTTGAGATGCAGCATATGCTGGACATAGACGTCTTCTCTTTAGGCCTGTCATACACACATAAGCTCCTACCTAACTTCCTACCTAACACAACCACAGCGTCTGTCAGCTTCAACACCACGCTGCTCCCTCCCCAGAGCTCCTGTCCATTGCTGGCCTGGGTAGCTCCTGTCATCTCTGGATGCCACAGGGCCAGGTCTGGTGGGTTCACAGTGCATCTGCAGCTGCTGAACAGGGGGATCAGACCGAGTGGTGCAGTCGTGGGGCGGCCTTGGGAGGTCGCCGTGCCATCCACATGCAGGGGAGGCAAGGGAGAGAATGGGGGTTCTGTGACCCCCGCTTTAACACCTCATGCGGTGGAGAGACGTGGGACTCTGCACAGCACCGCCCCCCAGTCTGGAAAAGGGAGCACGGGCTCCATCTCCTTTCTGAGCTACAGAACCTCGAGGACCACAGCCCTCTCCCTGCAGGTGCAGGAGGGAGGGTGGGGACAGGAGGGCGGGTTTTCTGTGCTCCCTGGAAGTGATGGGAAACAAAGCCCAGCCTGTCTGCCCTTTCTCGTGCCTCCAGGGCCTGAGTACTCGCCTTGGGGGAGATGAAAGGGCTGGATTTCAGAGACAGCATGAGGACTGAGGCAGGGCCGCTCTGGCTCCAGGGGTCGACCCCTGGGGCTGGGTTTCTTCTCCTGTCCTGTGGCACAGGGACCAGCTCTTCCCCAAGCTGCCCCAACACAAACTCTCTCCAAACACCGACCACAGAACTCAAGTCAACCCCTGGCGCCGTGAGGACGAGGCCAAAGTCCCCACGGTGTCTCCCGGTGTGGGGTCACCTCTGGCTTTTGCGGGAGTTTCTGATTTTTTATTTTTAAATTCTGAAATTGTGAGAGGCAGAGAGAGAGCGAGCAAGCCAGATCCATCCATTGGGTCACTCCCCGAATGCTCTGATGGCTGGGGTGAACCAGGTCCAATGCCAGGGGCCATGAGCTCTATCCATGACCCCACCCGGGAGGCAGGAACCCAGCTGCCCAGCCGGAGACCATGGCCCCAGGACCTGCCTGAGCAAGGAGCTGGAGCCCAGTCACAGCAACAGACGTGAGCTGAGTTTGTGAGGGGGCAAGAAGCCATTCTCGTTGCATCCTTGCCCGAGTCCAGGTGCCCTCTGCTGCATTCCTACGCTGCTCTGCACACCCCTGCTGTGGACAGGGCCCTGCACAGCCAGCTGCGAGCCTCTGCCGAGGACACAGAGGGGCTGAGAGGCACCTACCTGTGACCATGAGCTCCAGGGCACCACTGGGGGCCACCATGGTGGCTGTTGCTGTGGATTTGTTCTGAGAGGAGGAGCGTGGTGGGGGCAAGAGGCACAGAGTCACCACACAGACCCCGGGAGTCAGGTGAAAGCAGGCCAGAGGCGAGCAGCCCACAGACTCGTTTATTTCAGTTGGTACAGCAGCTTATATAGCCGAGGCAGCCAATCCAGTCAACGGGCAGTTTATGCCCTAACCAATCACATCCTGTTGCCAGGCTTACTCCATTTCCAGGTGGCTTCCAAGGGGGCTTCCGAAGCCATTCCTGAGTAACTGACCCTCACTTGCCTGTGGCCATCTTGGCATGGCCTTCTCATTCCACCACAGGTGGCGACCGCAGAGATGCGGGGTTTACCAGACCAGAGCCAAGGTTCCCCGGAACACCTTGCATCAGCGCTGTGGCAGGGAGCCATTTCCCCCCGGGCTCACTGGATCTTTATCAAGAGGATGCTGGAGGAGGAACAACATGGCAGGGAAATATTTTGTCCTGACATAACCCCAGACCCTGATCCACAACAGGCAGGGCTTGTCACAGGAGCCTGAAAGAGAAGAGGAGAGGTCAAAAACTTTCTCCTTTTAAAGAAATCGTTGCTTTGATATTCAAAAGTTGTATTTCTGTATAATTGTCATGTAAACATGAAACACACAAGCACACAACACAGACACGCACACACACGTGGAAGAGCTAACCGAAGCTAGATAACGTGTGCATTACCTCACAGACTTATTGTGTGCTGGGAGCATCTGACACAGTTTTAAGCAATTTCAGCTGCCCATGCCGTGAGTGTTATTAACTACAGTCGCCATGACGCACACTACACCTCTAGACCTCTTCTCCCACGTGATTCTGTAGCTCTGCACTCTGACCTGCGGATCCCAGCACCCACGCCCTCCCCTGGTGACCACCATGCTGCTCCGCGAGTCCCTCACAGCCCACACCTGAGAGACTTCCCGCGTGGGTTTTCCTCTGTGCCTGGCTTGTTTCACTTCCACAGTGTCCGCAGTGCCTCGGTTTGCTGAAAACGTCCGGATTTCACTTGTTTCATGGCCGAGTCTTATTCCACTGTGGGACGCCTTGCTTCTGGCCCCATTCACCTCGGTTGATGATGACAGTGATGTGGCAAGGCACTGACAGGCATCTGTCCTTTCCTTAGCCCTGCATCTGGTTGAGTGGAAGTCCCCCTCCCAGAAACAGGAGCTGGCAAAGCGTGCATACAGTGGGTTTCACAACAGAGACGCAGAAATGCAACGACCCCCTCTGGCCTCCACAGCCCTGCACAGCCCCAGGGCTCTGTGGGCTTCCAGCCCTGGGTGTTTCTGGGAAGGGTGCTATGCGAGGCCCATTGTGTGTGGCTGTGCCCCTAAGCCCCACACATCCTCTCTTCATGGCTTCCTGGGGCTCATCAGAGTTCCTACAGAGACAAAGACCCACCTCCCTGAGCCCCGCATCCCCGGTGCACATCTGGCTCCTGTCCCTGGCCGGCCGTGCTTGGACGGATGCCTGTGTGCACAGTCCCTGGGTGGTTGTCAGAGCCTCCCCCTGGCCCTCGGTGGTGAGAACGCTCCACGGAGCCTGCACTCAGCACACTGGTGAGCGCTGTGCCTGACTCTGACCCTTGCCAGGATGTGGGTCAACGGGAGCGCCTGCCTCCGTGCAGGGGGTGGGTTGCTCTGTGCTGTGCTGATGCTGGGTCTGGTGCTTTGAGGAACTACAAGTCTCTTGCCACAGTGGCTGAACCCTGCACATTCCAGCCGCATCTCAGGGCTGCGATTTCCCCACACCCTGACCACACTCTGCCTACTGTGTCCTCGAGAAGTGACCAGTGAGGTGGCGTGGGGGGTGCCTCTCTCTGGCATTATTTGCACTTCCCTTCCTTGTGCTGAGTGAGTTGCACCCTTGCTTTTCCTACTGTGGCTTCCAGATCTGCATGCAATGTGTTCCTTGTCTTCCTGATCCCTTCATAGCTGTCCACGGTGCACAGAGTTCTGAAGTTTTGAGGATGATCAATGCAGCCATTTTCCTGTTTGTTCCTCATACTTTCAGAATCACAGCTAAGACGCTGTGATGAGGTCAAATTTACCCAGGTATTTCCTTCTAGGAGTGTTTAAAATTTTTTTGTAAACTCTGATTTATTTATTCGAGAGGTAGGGACAGAGAGGAGAGACAGCAACAGAGATTTGCCACCTTCTGGCTCACTCCCCAGACGGCTGGGCCAGGCTGAAGCCAGGAGCTTCTTTTGGGTCTCCCACGTGGGTGCAGGGCCCCAAGCATTTGGGCCATCCTCTGCTGCCTTCCCAGGGCATTAGCAGGGAGCTGGATCAGAAGTGGGGCAACCGAGATTGGAACTGGTGGTCATATGGGATGCCGGCGCTGCAGGTGCTGGCTTTACTCCCTCAGCTACGCTGTGGTGGGGTGGGGTCCCAGCCCATAACTGGAAACACTGGTGCAGAATCCACAGCGCTCTCTCAAACCCACCTCCCTGAACTCTGTGGGAAACGCAGACTTGCACCACACGGACAAGCAGAGTAACCAGCCACCAGAGGAAGCCGGGCAGGCATCCGCACTCTTCCAGAACACCGGGTGCTGCCGTCCACCAGAGCCGCCGTGTTGTGGGGTTTATGTTAGTTGTGCATTGAGAAATCCAGATGACCTTGAACTTCCCGTGCCTGAAGAAACCCTGCACACACTTTCTTTCACTTCTGTGTGGTCCTCTCAGAGGGTGGATTCCCACGGTCATCTGGGATTTTACCTTAGAGTTTGATAAGCCACACGTTTTTAAAAATATTTATTTAAAAATCAGAGTTACAGAGAGAAGGAGAGAGAGAGGTATCCATCTGCTGGTTTCATCCCAATGGGTCCTCACAGCTGGAGCTTGTCTGATCTCCAGCCAGGAGCCAGGAGCCAGGAGCCAGGGGCCAGGAGCCAGGAGCTTCTTCTGGGTCTCCCAGATGGATGCAGGGGCCCAAACACTTGGGCCATCTTCTACTGCTTTCCCAGGCCATAGCAGAGAGCTGGATTGGACGTGGGGCAGCCAGGACTTGAACCGGCGCCCACAGGGGATGCCGGAACCGCAGGCAGCAGCTTTTATCCATTAAGTCACAGCACCAGCCCAGATCTATTGATTCTGACCTCCCACTTCTGGCCCCACCAGTCATGGCCTCCTTTTGGTGAGCAGAATTTTAAACCCATCTTGAGTGACAGGTGTCCCACCACATCCTGGCCCGCTTGCTGAAGGTCAAGGGGAGCAAATCCTGGCGTTACCCTCTCCGTGGGCGGCAGGGCCGGGGCTCCTGTGGACACTCAGGGCCACTGAGCTGTGTGTGGTCCCTGGAGAGGAACAGGACAGAACCGCACGGGAGCCTGCAGGGTGGTGGGCAGGGCTGCGGGAGGCCAGAGCCCCTTCCCAGAATGCATATGGGAGCCCAGGAAAGCAGCACCACCAGCAGCCCACCAGGGTCCCTGCCCCTGAGCAGGATTCCTGCAACCCCAGGTGAGCTCCGCCCACTTCCCCGAGGCTTCTCACCACTCATGTCCGGCCTCCCGCCTCCCCTGCCCCCGTGGCACAGCCTCTCTGACCCAGCGCTGTCCTCTCTCCAGGTCACTGCCGGCCTGCAGCCCGGGTCCTTCTCTGGCTGTACCAAGCCTCGGCCAGCAGAAGCCCGAGGCCCAGCAGGACCAAGCCCGCCACGCCCATGCGGATGAGGTTCTCCAGGGTGAGGTCCTGGGGTGCTGGGGCTGGGGGTGTGCTCGGAGGGGTCACCGAGGCTGGCCAGATCCAGTGACCCAGGACCCCACCTCCCCGCAGCTGCCTGAGCCCTGGGTCCAGCCTGTAGCTCACTCACCAGCGGGGGAGCCTGGCTGGCAGTGCGAGGGGCTGCTGGGCTCCGGTCCTCCTGAGAACAGGGACAGGATGGTGAGGAGGAGGAGACCCCGGCCTCCTCCAAACTCCGTGCTTCCGGGTCCCCACATCATGCAACAGAGATCAGCCTGGCCCTCGGATGAGCCGCCTCCACGTTACTCTGTAGGGCTCCCTGTGCTCTGGGGCCGCCAGGGGAGCTGCGCAGTGGACAGGCCACGTGGCACCCACAGCATGGAGAGCTTCTCCCTACAGGAGCAGGTCTGGGGCCCACCCTGGGCAAGGCCAGGGCAAACTGTGCCCACGCAGTCTCTGCCCTGGTAGAGAGGCCCACAGCGTCCGGGGTGTGAGGACAGTCATGCACAGGGCCTGTCCAGTGCTTCATCTGCTCCGGCCCTGTGGGAGCCTGGCCTGGGGCTACCGGCCAGGGCGCTGGGCCGACCCCAAGTCCCTGTGTGACCCCGTCAGACCCTCTGCAGGGACCACTGAGGGCCCTGCTGGGTCAGGAGGGAAGAGGGGCGGGGCTGCACCTGGCTCTGCCCACACCCTTCTCCCTCCTGCCCTGCAGTCCCACCGCCCTCACTCTGGGTGTCTGGCCCAGGAGCCCAGACCCGCACCCAATTCCCATCTACACCTCCTCTCAGTGTCTCCGTGACCTACCCAGCTCCTGCTATGGTGTGGCTTCCTCACTGTCACCCCAGCTCCAGGGCGGCACTGGGCTCTGACCAGCCAGCAGTGCTGAGGCAGACACAGAGGTAGCGCCCCGTGTACACCTCGGCCATGAGAGGGTGGGGAACGTGGCCTTGTTTCCGGGCTCCAGGGGCATCGCTCTGTCCAAGGGCTCTGGGATTCCCTCTCTATGCAGACGGCACTCCTGGGCCTCCAGGGTCCCTAACACCACAGGGCCCCAGGCCTGCCCAGGGCGATCACAGAGCCTGGCTCAGCCCGGACGCTGTGTCTGGGGAGGGTCCCTGGAAGGAAACCAGAGGCTGGGTCCCAGGACCATGTCCCCTCGCAGGCCAGGACCCTCCCAGACGCCCTCCTCACCAGACAGGGCTACTGTCCCCACCCCAGCTGCCCGGGGTGGCCCTTGTCCCATGGGGGGGGGACCGGCAGAGAGGGGGCACGCTCACCTGCCTGCACTCGGGTCCTGGGGCCCGCACAGCCCTGGAGGAGAGCATCCCCTGCAGGGATGGGGCCCCGCCCCGCCCTGTCAGCCGGCTCCGCCCTCCTCTCCCAGGGCCAGGACCCAGCACCAAGGACACGGGCCTCCCGGAGCCGCCCCTCAGGTGGGCTGATGCGCCCCGGGGTGGGGTCGTCCCCGCCCTCAGCCCCTCCTGTGGGGTCGCAGCCCGGCCACTTCCGGAGGACGCAGGTGGGCACAGCCCCGCTCCCGCCCGGCCCGGAGGTCCCGGGGCCGACCCAGGGCGGGGGAGGCCCGGACGCCCCCTCCGCCGCGGACGCCGCTCCCACGCCCCTCAGCCACAGCTTCCCCTGACCCGACCACCCCGCTGCGGGGCCCTGAGGCCTCCCAGGACCTGCGCCGCCCCCTCCCTGCCGCCTGCCCTGACTCCCGGGGGAGGCGCCCTCACTGCGTCCCCTCACACACCCCTCTGCCCTGAGCCTCAGCTTCCCCGTGTGGGCGGACACGGACTCACCTGAGGCGGCCTCGCGCACACGCACACCGACTCTGGACTGCGCATGCGCATGCTGCCGCACGTGCGCAGACGCCAACCGACACGGGACTGCGCACACACTTACACAGGACTGCGCAGGCGCAGAACCTCTTGCGGCGCTCAGATGCTGCTGAGGGCGCGGTGGTTGCCGCTGTCTCCGTAGAAGAGTGCGGGTCCTTGTAGGAAACGTGAGCCCTGACTGCTGCTCTGCGCGGCCCTGCAAGTCCTCGCCAGACCAGGTGGGCGAGAAGAAGCCACAGAAGCGTCCGAATTGGGAAGGAGGAAGCCATGTCGGCTCTCTCCTGATGACGTCATCTTACCTAAGACTACCTCTGTTTGCGGATGACGTCATCCTACCTAAAGACAACCCAACGTCTCAACCAGAAACTGCCCTCACTGGTCACCGTCAGGTCGCAGGATCGCGGTCCACACACGAACTCCCGTCAGCGCTCCAAGGGAGATCCACACAGCTCCACTTAGCAGAGCCCAGACCTCCAGCAGCCTGGAGTGCATTCCTCTGCTGCAGGAGGTGAATGCAGAGACCCCGCGTGGGTTCACAGCGCATCTGCGGCTCCGGAACGGGGGCATCAGACCGAGGGGCGCAGTCGGGGGGCGGCCCTGGGAGGTCACCGTGCTGTCCACATGCAGGGGAGACGAGGGAGGGAACGGGGGTTCCGTGTCACCCGCTTTATCGCCTCGCGGCCGTGGAGAGACGTGGGACTCTGCACAGCACCTTCCCCGTCCGGAAAAGGGAGCGCGGGCTCCGTCTCCTTTCTGAGCTACAGAACTGCGAGGACCAAGGCCATCTCCCTGCAGGTGCAGGAGGGAGGGTGGGGGCGGGAAGGCGGGTTTTCTGTGCTCCCTGGAAGTGATGGCGAACAAGGCCCCGCCCACCTGCCCTGGCTTGTGCCCCCAAGGCCCTGAGTGCTCGCCTTGGGGGAGATGACAGTGGCTGGATTTCAGAGACAGCGTCAGGGACCGTGGCAGGGCCGCTCTAGCTCTGGGAGTCCACACCTGAGACTGGGTTTCTTCCCTGGGGCACAGGGACCGGCTCCCCCCACCTCCGCCAACACAAACTCTCTCCAAACACCGACTATCATTATGGAGTCAACCCCTGTGAGGATGAGGCCAATGTCCCCACGGAATCTCCCGGGGTGGCGCGGGGGTCCACCTCTGGTTTCACATGAGATTCTGATCTTCTATTTTTAAATTCTGAAAATTTGGGAGGCTGTGAGAAAGAGTGAGTGTCTGAGTGAGCTCCATCCACTGGTTCACTCCCCAAATGCCTATCATGGCCGGTTTGAACCAGGGCCAACACCAGGGGCCAGGAGCTCCATCCATGCCCCGACACAGGAGGCAGGAACCCAGCTACCCAACCCAAGACCACGGCTCCAGGACCTGCATGAGCAGGGAGCCAGGCCCAGACCTGCAGCCGAGAATTGAACCCGGGCCTCCCTTTGTATCGTGGGGCCTTTGTTTCCTCCTGAGGTCCGTTGTTCTCGCTGAGGGTTCAGCTGCAGTGGGTTCTGCTCCCCATGGAGTGGCCCCAGCTCCCTTTCTGTGGTCTCCCCCAGTACCCCCGGGGGCTGGGTGCCCAGCAGACGGCAGCTCTCTGGTGGATAATGTGGGTTTGCAGGTTCCCCCCCACTTGGTCAGACTCAGCCTCGTGCTCTCGTGAAGGCCATGGGTGTTGATTTTTTTTTTTTTTGACAGGCAGAGTGGACAGTGAGAGAGACAGAGGAAAAGCTCTTCTTTTGCCGTTGGTTCACCCTCCAATGGCCGCTGTGGCCGGTACACTGTGGCCGGCGCACCGCGCTGATCTGATGGCAGGACCCAGGTACTTATCCTGGTCTCCCATGGGGTGCAGGGCCCAAGCACTTGGGCCATCCTCTACTGCACTCCCTGGCTACAGCAGAGAGCTGGCCTGGAAGAGGGGCAACCGGCACAGAATCCAGCGCCCCGACCGGGACTAGAACCTGGTGTGCTGGTGCCGCAAGGTGGAGGATTAGCCTAGTGAGCTGCAGCGCCGGCCCGGGTGTTGGGTTTTCAGGACTTTGCTTCCAGATCTGCAGGTGCAGGCTCCCCGCATGTGGTTGCTGGGGTCCAGAGACACCAGTCCCCTCCTCCGGAGACCTGCAGAGTTCAAACGCGCTCTTCCGGAGACCTGGGAATCTCGGGCGCTCTCTGGAGACCCCACACACCAACTTCCGGAAACTGAGAGACCCCACACTTCTCCTCCGGAAACCCGGGGAGTTAGAAGCACTCTTCCAGAAACCCCGCACACCCCCCTTCCAGAAACTCAGAGACCCTGCACTTTTCTTCTGGAAACCGCAGACGCACTCTTCCGGAAAGCAGGGGTCCCAGACACCCCCTCAAGATACATAGGCAGGCCGCCCTGGGGGTAGAGCTGCAGTGGAGCCTGGGCCTCCCTGGGGTAGAGCTGCAGAGGAGGCTGGGCCAGAGCAGGTGTGTGGCTCTCCACTTCTTAGGCGTGAGTTGTGTTATGCCCAGATAAGTAGCTCCCCAGGAAGCCATCAGCGACCAGATCACACCGAAATGCAAAGGCAAGGTTTATTTTAAAAGTACAAGACATGGCAGGAATTCATCTGACTAGCCGATGCAGGGGAGGTCAGAGGAAGACCCAGGCGTTTGTTTAGGAGCACTTTTAAAGGAAAAAAACCACAGGGTTACATCAGCCGGGGCTTACAGGACGGGGCTGTTCTGGGTTTTTCTTATTCGAGGAGGGGGTCTCCGTTTGGCTTTGGATTCAGGGAGTTACCTCATTTGGTAATCTCTACTGAGCTGCCTTTGGTCTGCTGAGCTGTCCTTGGTAAGCTTTGATATCCCCGGAATGCCTGAATGCCTGCTTTTACAAGGACTCGGGTCTGCTATGGGAAATGGAGGCTCCTTTTTATTTAATTTTCTGTACATGGAGTCACTTTGGCTCTTCAGGTTGCATGTAGACTTCCTTCCACGCAGAAAGTGCTGGGGAGGAAGGGTGAGGTTCCCTTGGGAACTAGGAGCCCCAGATCCGCAGCAGCAGCCACGCTCCTAGATCCTCTGGGTCCCTGCTGTGCTGTGCTGGGGACAGCTCTTTCCTCCCATCTTCTATGTAGTGACCCATCACCCAGTCCTGTCACACAGCTTCCCAGGGCGGGGCGTCCTTGAAAGTCTTTGTCCATGTTCCTCAAAACTGTCATCAAGGTCATCACCAACAAGGTAATCACAGGGCCTAAAGAGACAGAGAGAACCAGAGGCAGTGTGAGATCCTGGAGAAGATAAAGGATGAGGTTCCGACACAGGAAATCTAAATAAACCATGGACTAGTTGAGCTAAGGGTGCTGGGAAGAAATGTGCCAATATAACCTACATTGCTAACATGGAGCTGTGTGAAGGGTCTATAGCAACCCCATGTGGTAACATCACATTTGTTCCCTAAAACCATTCTAGAAGTCTATTAAAAATCAGGTAAAATTCCCACATGAGGGCTGAAGACCTTGGCTGTCTCCTTACCAAGCACCACAAACTCTAGGGCAACACTGGGGCTGCCCAGGCTGATGCTCCTTCTGTGGGCACTGGTATCACCTGGGGTGTTTTATCCGTGGGAGTCCTCCCTATGTCTCACTAGTAACACCCTGCAGTGTTGTATCCTGTGAATCCTCCCTCTGTCGGCACTGGTAACACCCTGCAGTGTTGTATCCTGTGAATCCGTGCTACGTTGCCACTGGTAACACCGTGCATTGTTGCATCTGTGGGAGTCCTCCCTCTGTCGGCACTGGTAACACCCTGCAGTGTTGCATCTGTGGGAGTCCTCCCTATGTCGGCACTGGTAACACCCTGCAGTGTTGTATTCATGGGAGTCTGTGGGGAGCAATCCGGACTGGACTGAGTTACTGGAATTAAGACTTATTCTATGCATCTGCTCTCCCACAATATGGCGCTGGGAGAGAAGTAAACAGCTTCCGCACAGCTGCCTCCAGTTCAACCAATAAACTGTAGGACTTGCTACTGATTGGTGGAGAGCAGCATACTCGGCGTGTGGGCAGCCGGGTTGGGATTGGCGGAGGAGGACTATAAAGGAGGAGAGAGACGGCATGCACCAGGAACATCTAAGGGGAACACCTAAGGGGAACACCTGTGCAGCCCCCGAGAAGAGCCGGCCGGCGGTGTGCCGCTCCCCTGCGGAAGTGGGGAATGTGGCCAGGGGGAACTGCCCTTCCACGGAGGTGGAAGGGATAGTAGCCAACCCGGGAAGAACCAGCAGCAAACCCGGGGAGGGCTGAGCAGATGAAAGAACAGCGCAGGGTCTTGTGTCGTTCCCCCACGAAGAGAGGGAGCGACATAATGGTGCCGTGACTCGGATATGAAGCCTAGGCAGGATTCAGTGTCGTTCCTCCACGAAGAGGGGGAGCGACAGGAGTCCTCACCCTATCGGGACTGGTAACACCCTGCAGTGCTGTATCCATGGTAGTCCTGATGAATCAGCCTCCTTCTGCAACCCCACTTCCTTCTCCACCACCTCGTGTGTGGCTTCCCAAGATCTCCAGTTGGTACAAGGAAGATACAGGGGTTTCCTGGCACGGGATCTTCACACACCTACTCCAGGCAATCACAGAACCTAGTCCGGCAGATATGATAGGAATAGGAAAACCCCTTGGAAGAAAATACAGCCTAGAGTTTGGTGGACTAGCAGAGAGAAACCATTTGTTCCTGTTCTCTGGGAATGGGAGGGGCAGAAATAAATTAAGATGAGAGGCCTATCATTAGTTTATTTTAAAATACTTATAATTTTGTTTGAAAGAGGAAGAGAAAGAGGGAGAGATCTGTTGTTTGCTGGTTCACCACCCAAATGCTGGTAATAGCCAGAGCTGCTCTAGGTTGTCAGGAGCCTGGAGCTGCAGCCAGATCACCCTCCTGGGGGCAGGAACCAAGCATTGAGCCACTGCCTGTCTCCTAGGTGTGCAGTAATGGAAGCCACCTCAGAGGTAGATCTGGACCTAACCCAGGCACTCTGCTGTGGGATTCAGGCATCCCAAGCAGTGACTTAACTGCTGTCCCAACTCCCACCCTATAATTCTGTTGTAAAAATGTGTTAGGCCAGCACCCAGCTCACTAGGCTAATCCTCCACCTGTGGCACCAGAACCCCGAGTTCTAGTCCTGTTTGGGGTGCTAGATTCTGTCCTGGTTGCTCCTCTTCCAGTCCAGCTTCTGCTGAGGTCCAGGAAGGCATTGGAGGATGGCCCAGGTCCTCAGGCCCTGCACCCACATGGGAGACCAGGAGGAAGCACCTGGCTTCTGACTTCAGATCGGCGCAGCCCGCCGGCTGTAGCAATGAAGTGAACCAATGGAAGGAAGACCTTTCTTTCTGTCTCTCTCTCTCTCTCTCTATCTAACTCTGCCTGTCAAAAAATGTGTTAAAGAAACCCAGTCATTTGTGGAGAAATGGGTGGGACCAGAGAACATGAAGTGAAATATGCCTTCCCAGGAATCCAATGTAAGTTCTCTCTTCTATGGGAAAGTTGGAAAAGTTGATCTCGTAGCAGCACAGTAGGATGGTGATCAATAATGCATCAAAGGGTCTTGTGGGAGAGATGGAGGGAGGTTTGGTCCACAGGTCCCAAAGTGTAATCACATAGAAGGAATGGCTCTAGTCTGCACAGCACAAGGAGGCAACTGTTGCTCACATAACCTGTTGTGTGTGTGTGTGTGTGTGTGTGTGTGTGTGACAGGTAGAGTTATAGACAGTGAGAGAGACAGAGAGAAAGGTTTTCCTTCCTTTCATTCACTCCCCTAATGGCCGCTACAGCCAGTGCTGAGCTGATTGAAAGCGAGGAGCTGGGTATTTCTTACCGGTCTCCCATGTGGGTGCCAGGACCCAAGCACTTGGGTCAAAAACTGCTGCCACCCAGGCCACAGCAGAGAGTGGACTGGAAGAGGAACAACCGGGACTACTACCCGGAGCCCCAACCGGGACTAGAATCCGGGGTGCCGGTGCCACTGGCGAAGGATTAGCCAAGTGAGCCACAGCGCCAGCCCTGTTGAGTGTTTTAATAAAGAACTCAACAAGAGGAGCTGGGGGCCTCAAATACAAGACATGACGAGATGGGAACACCCTGGTGAGGTGAGCACACCTTCGAATTCCACGCTGGGCCTCCTAAATTATTATGTGTGCATTTAAAGGGAAAAATAGGTGGCAAATATGTTTTTGGTAATTGTGTCTTCCTCATTTGTTGAGCTGAAATTCACAGAGCACAGATTACAGACCTGACAGAAATTTAACTCACGGCTGTAGCTACCTCTCACATTCACTGTGTCATGTACCCTCCAGCACCTGTTCACAAACATCTTCATTAGCAGAGACAGAAACCCCAGACCCACTCAGCAGGAGCCTGCACGCTCCCTCATACGCCCGAGTCCACATTCTGCCCTCTGAATCTGCACCCCCGGGCACCTCTCAGAGCAGAATCAGACCATGGTGTCTGTGACACCGGCTGATTTCTGTATTGTCATATCTCAGGCTTTCTCCACGATTATCCAGACCCTCCTTCTTTTCTAACAGGAGAGTATCAGCCGTGTCCACAAACACCGCCTGTTGTGGACGCACTCACCTGTTGTGCTTATTCCGGTTGCTGGCATCTTTGGGCTCATGTGAATGAGGCTGCTCTGAACCCGTGGATGCAAACACCTGCTTGGGGTCCTGCTTCAGTCCCTGTGGTTATATGTGCAGGAGAGGAACTGTTGGATTGTCAGGCACTTATGAGAAACAATGTTTTCCTTCTTTAGTGTGCCGAAATTCAAATAACATAAAACCAGCCCTTTAAAGTGTATAGTTTGCTGACTTTTAGTACATTCACAATACGTACAACTTTAACTTTTTAAAAAAAAATCATTTATTTGAGTTACAGAGCTAGATAGAGACCGAGAGAGAGAGAGAGAGAGAGAGAGAGAGAGAGAAAGTCTTTCATCTGCTGGTTCACGCACCAAATGGCCACAAAGGCCTGAGCCAGGGCTATGCCATGAGCAGGATCGTCTTCCCCATCTCCCGTGTGGCTGCAGGGGACCAGGGACTTGGACCACCTTCTGCTGCTTTCCCAGGTGCATTAGCAGGGAGCTAGAGCAGAAGTGAAGCAGCTGGGACTCAAAGCCACGCCCTCATGGGGTGTTGGCCCTGCAGGCTGGGGATTTAATGTGGCGTGTACAGTGCCGGCCCCACATGAACTCTTCTAGCTCCATTGTCATCCCTCCAATCACATGCCCCACACTGACTAAGCTGCTCCAGTCCCCTTTGCCCTAAGTAACTGCTTGGCTTCCATGGAGTTTGGAGTTCTGCTTCCCTGCATATCACTACGCAGCAGGAACCCGAGGTGCACAGCGGGGCCCTGACGGAGGAGCCCCCGGCACCCGGCAGGCAGCTGGGGGCGTCTCTTCCCAGCCCGCATCACAGACCTCACAGGGGCTCCTGGAGGGTGGCCGTATGACGGCTAGCGGCACCCCCACAGAAAGCATGCTTGTTTCAGAGCGGCCGCTAAGCAGTGCCCAGACACCCGCCCGTCAGACTCCCGGGCACCGGTTCCCGTGTGACCCTTCTGAGCCCCCACACGCAAGGCGTCCCAAGCCCAGGGAAGGACTCGGGGCCTGAGAGGCCGTGAGCGTCCCGTGTGGGATGGACCTCGCCCACCCTGAAATCCGATTTCGCTCGTTTATTGTTACTCGGCGCAAGCTCCGTGTTCTTGGCTGGAACGCGGATTCCCACGCATGCGCACTGGGAACTGCATTCATCAGAAACAGAGCAAAAGGCTCCCTGAGGGCGGGGCAAGGCGGGAGGCGGGTGCGGGTCTACATGCGGCCTGAAGGTGGCGCTGTCCCACCGGAGAGCCAGGCAGGACAGGGCACAGCCACAGGGCAGAAGTCCACAGCTGAATGGAGGAAGAGCCCCTGATGCCCCCAGACAGCTCCCAGCACCCACACCGTGGGGGACGGTTCCCCACTGTGCCCGCAGAATCCCCCCGTCCCTGCCCCTTAGGGCGTGGCTTCTCTGACCCAGCGCTGTCCTCTCTCCAGGGCACCGCCGGCCTGCAGCCCGGGTCCTCTTGTGGCTGTACCAGGCCTCCACCAGCAGAACCCCGAGGCCCAGCAGGACCAAGCCCACCACGCCCATGCGGATGAGGTTCTCCATGGTGTGGTCCTCGGGCGCTGGGGCTGGGGGTGTGCACGTAGAGGGTCACCTAGGCTGGCCAGACCCAGTAACACAGGACCCCACCTCCCCGCAGCTGCCTGAACCCTGGGTCCGGCCTGTAGCTCACTCACCAGCGGGGGAGCCTTGCTGGGGGTGAGAGGGGCTGCTGGGCTCCGGTCCCCTGAGAACAGGGACGGGATGGTGAGGAGGAGGAGACCCCAGTCCTCCCCATGCACTCAGCACTGAGGACCCGGACGCTCAAGCTGAAGTCCTCTGCTATTCCAACTCCCTGGTGAACTACCCAAGGTCCCCTCCCCACCCAGCCTTCTCCTGTAGACAGCGCTGCACTTACAGGAGGCTAGGGGACAGGGCTGGGGCCCTTACCTGACACCTCGAGCTGCAGGGGGTCCCTGGGCCATGACCACAGGTAGGGGTCGGTGCTGTGGGCGCTGTAGCACCTGTAGGTGCCCCCGTGGGCCGAGGTCACAGAACCCAGCATGAAGGTGGCCTGAGCAGCCATGGCCGAGCCCGGGACATGCAGGCGCTGGGGAGGGGCGCCTGAGCCCACTTTGTGCAGGAGAAAGGTGTCCATCGCCTCCTCAGAGCCACAGCGCAGGGCCACCATTGCTCCCAAGGCCACCGAGGGCCCCGGCTGGGCCTGCAGGGAGGGTTTCCTGTACATTCCTGAGAGAGAGGACGGCGTGTGGAGGGAGCATCCCGCAGCCGGCAGGGTGTGCAGGTGTTCACCGCTCCCGCGGGGTCAGCGTTCCTGCAACTCCCGCCCCACCCAGGCTCCATGGGCTCCGGGCCCCTCACCTGTGACCTGGAGCTCCAGGGGCTCACTGGGCAGTGACCACACATGGGGCTGGCTGCTGTGAGCGCAGTAGCACCTGTAGATGCCCCCCTGGGTGCCGTCCACAGGGCCCAGGAGGAAGGTGGCCTGCCACACCCCAGCCACATGGGAGAACCTGGCTTCCAGGCTGTGCAGGGGGCCGGCTCCGCCCTCCTTCAGCAGATGGGCAGTGGGGGCGTCATCATACTCTGAGCGACAGGAGAGGGACACGTTCCCTCCTGATGCCACCACGAGGCTTGGCTGGGCTGACAGGAAGGGTGCCGGGAACATTTCTGCAGGGGAGGGCAGAGGCATGTCGTGGGGGGTGCCGCCTCGTGCACCCCACTTGGCTTCTTTCTGTGAGCTGGAGCCTCTCTGGGCAGGGACACCCCTTACCTGTCAGCACCAGGGTCAGGGGGTCACTGGGCTGGGAGAGGCCGAGCGGGGTCCGATACACACACCAGTACTGCCCTGTGTGGTAGGAGCTCATGGACATGGTGATGGGGAAGTCAGCCTTGTGTCTGGAGTCCTGCTGGGCCCGCACTTCCCAGGGCAGAGGGCTGCCCTCTTTATACACACGATACACCTCAGCCTGCAGAGACCCCTGGCACCAGAGGGTCACAGGGCTCCCCACGGCGACCAGGGGGCCTCGGTCGGCCCAGATGGAGGGCTTGGGGAGGGTCCCTGGAAGGGAATCAGAGCTGCAGACCCCAGGTGCCGCCCCTCCCCCACCCCATTCCCCAGCTCCACTCCCAGCCCCTCCCAGCCATCACCATCAGCCCAGCCCACTGGGCTCCTTTACCCCTAGCTGCCTGAGCCCCGGGGGCTGAGCCAGGTCAGGGGTGTACTCACCCGCCTGTGCCCCATCCCCTGGCGCCCAGCACAGCCCTGGAAGAGAGGTCCCCGTGAGAGCTGCTCCCCACTCCCCACCCCTGCAGAGACGCCCAGGCCTGCCCTGGTCCTCTGAGCCCTGGTGTCCCAGCTAGGCCAGGGCGCTGTCCCTTCCCATACCTGTGAGGGTTCCCATTGTTCCCGTGTCCCCGGCTCACCCAGGCAGAGGAGGGCAGTGAGGGCTGGAGTCAGGGCCCCGCCACCCATGGTCCCTGTGGAGCAGAGCAGCTGTGAGGGCCACAGGCCCAGAGTCCGGCTGGAGATGAGCGGGGAGACGTCACGGGTTCCTCATCTGCGGCCTCACAGGAAGGGAGCAGCCCCTCCCCGACCTCCTCCGCTGTCCCTCAGGACGGGGCCCAGGACACAGCGGGCTCTGGGGACAGCTAGGGCCAGGCCCCCGCCTCCGCTGCCCCCTGTGCTGTGCCTGCCCTGCCTCCCTCCCCCGCTCCAGCCCCACCCGGGGGGTGCCCCTCGTGGGCCGTGCCCAGGAGCTGCCTGGTTAGGGTTCTGGTTCTCCCTGCACAGGCCGGGTGGCCGAGGCAGGCACTTCCCCTTCCTGACTGCTGAGTGCAGGTGTGGGGGCTGCATCCCGTGAGGTGGGTGACAGCAACAGGAGCAGATGAAGAAGGCAGACGCTGCCGAGGTGTGGCTGAGCTGCAGCCCAGCTGTGCCTGTGGCAGGTGCAGGAGTGCCCACAAAAGGGGACCTAGGCCAGGGGTGGGGTCCTGCCTTATGCCGCCTGGCCTGGGTCCCAGTGAGGGGCTTGAGGAGGGGAGGGCACCTTGTGGGGCAGAGAACCCGAGCTCCCTCGGAAACTGAGAGCATGGGGGTGCCATAGCCCCAGGCCCTCCGGGGTCCCATGCCTCACACCCTGTGCTGGGATATTCTGATGGAAGGGGACTGGGAGCAGGGGACTGCGCCCGTGTGCAGATCCACACTCTGTGTGAGGCTCAGGGTCCCCAGCACCTGTGTCCTGAGCCCCCCACCTGATCTGAGCACCTGGGCTCCCTGCTCCTGGATGACATGGGGGTGACGCTTCCTGAGCGACCTGAACAGGTGATGTCACCCCCAGCGTCTCTGTGGTGGAGGAATGCCCGAGACCTCCGGTCTCTGGGTGGCTGTGGCTGCAGCTCTCCGGTCTCAGGGTCCTGCAGTGTCCCTTCCAGATTCAGACGTGGGGACTGCACCGTTCTGGTAGGGACCCCTCCTCAGAAGTCCCTAGGAGCGCCCGCTGTCCCCAGAGGTGAATCAGAAGCGGTCCTGGTCCCAGACAGAATGGAAGACCCCATCTTCAGCTGTGTTTGGGGGTGGAGGGCAGAGGGCAGGCTCTCAGCTGCCTGCACTGGGTGGGGGCCCCACGAGAGAACGCACGGTGGCTCGTCACAGCCTCGGGTGCAAAGGCACTGACAGGCATCTGTCCTTTCCTTAGCCCTGCGTCTGGTTGGAGGAAGTCCCCCTCCCAGAAACAGGAGCTGGCAAAGCGTGCACTCAGTGGCGTTCACAGTAAAGCTGCAGAAATGGAACGACCCACACAGCTTTGCCTCAGGAGGAAGCTGGCACCCTGCAGCCTCCAGCCCCGCCAGCCCCAGGGCTCTGTGGGCTCCCAGCCCTGGGTGTTTCTGGGAACGATGCTATGCGGGGCCCTTTGTGAGTGGCTGCACCTCCTGCCGCACGCATCCTCACTTCACAGCTTCCTGGGGCTCTGCAGAGTTCCCACAGAACCAGGGACCCACCTCCCTGAGCCCCCATCCCCGGTGCACATCTGGCTCCTGTCCCTGGCTGGCCGTGCTTGGATGGATGCCTGTGTGCACAGTCCCTGGATGGTTGTCAGAGCCTCCCCCTGGCCCTCGGCGGTAAGAACACTCCACGGAGCCTGCACTCAGCACACTGGCGAGCACTGCCCCTGACCCTGAACCTTGCCAGCATGTGGGTTGATGGGAGCACCTGACTCCATGCAGGAGGTGGGCTGCTCCGTGCTGTGCCTACGCTGGGTCAGGTGCTTTGAGGAACTAGGAGCCTCTTGCCGCAGTGGCTGAACCCTGCACATTCCAGCCGCGTCTCAGGGCTGCGATTTCCCCACACCCTGACCACACTCTGCCTGCTTTGTCTTCCAGAAGTGACCAGAGTGTTGGGTGTGGGGGGCGCCTCTCTTTGGCATTATTTTCAGTTCCCTGCCCTTGTGCTGAGTGAGCTGCACCCTTGCTTTTCCTGTTGTGGCTTCCAGATCTTTACACCATGTGTTCGTTGTCTTTCTGCTCCCTTGATAGCTGTCCATGGTGCACAGAGTTCTGAAGTTTTGGGGATGATCAATTCAGCCACTTTCTTGTTTGTTCCTCATACTTTTGCCAACAGCTAAGATGCTGTGATGAAGTCTGAGGTCATATTTACCGAGGTATTTCCTTCTAGGAATGTTTAAAAAAACTTTTCAGAGACTGATTTATTTGAGAGGCAGAGACATAGAGAGGAGAGACAGCGACAGATTTCCCACCTGCTGGCTCACTCTCAGGCTGAAGCCAGAAGCCGGGAGCTTCTTCTGGGTCTCCCACGTGGGTGCAGGGCCCAAGCATTTGGGTCATATTCTACTGCTTTCCCAGGCACATTAGCAGGGAGCTGGATCAGAAGTGGAGCAGCCGAGATTCAAACTGGAGGCCATAATGATGCCAGTGCTGCAGGTGTTGGCTTTGTCGCTCCCCCTCTTCATGGAGGAACGACACAGGACCCTGCGCTGTTCTTTCGTCTGCTCGGCCTTCCCCGGGTTTGCTGCTGGTTCTTCCCGGGTTGGCTACTATCCCTTCCACCTCCGTGGAAGGGCAGTTCCCCCTAGCCACATTCCCCACTTCCGCAGGGGAGCGGCACACCGCCGGCCGGCTTTCTCGGGGGCTGCACGGGTTCCCTTAGATGTTCCCCATAGATGTTCCTGGTGCATGCCGTCTCTCTCCTCCTTTATAGTCCTCCTCCGCCAATCCCAACTCGGCTGCCCACACGCCGAGTACGCTGCTCTCCAATCAGGAGCAAGTCCTACAGTTTATTAGTTGAACTGGAGGCAGCTGTGCGGAAGCTGTTTACTTCTCTCCCAGCGCCATATTGTGGGAGAGCAGATGCATAGAATAAGTCTTAATTCCAGTAACTCAGTCTAGTCCGGGTTGCTCCCACAGATCCCCCTTTCTTTTTATTTTTGGCGTTGATACGCGCCTGTCTTCGGTGTCCCGCGGCACACACTCTGCTCTACTTGCTAGAGTTGCCACAGGTTCTTACAAGTCCTATCAGGCAAACCGAATCCGAGCCTTCTCATTGCCGTATTGTGGGGGAGGCCTTACTGATGTTAATTCGTGCCTGTCTTCGGTGACCTGCGGCGCATAAGCTGCTAGCTGCCCGCAGGTGCTCATCGCCTCACTTAATCAGGCAGACCGAATCCAAGCTCTCTCATTGCCATGTTGAGGGGAGGCCTTTCTATTTCTCTATTTCTCTATCTCCGGGCATTCCTATTTCTCCCATTTTACTTCTATCTTCCAGCATTCCTATTTCTCTCACTTTACTTCTAAACTTCTGTTTCTCTTATCCCTGTGGCCTCCCGGTGCCTCGCCCTGCCGGCAGGCTCCGCCCCGAGGCTATTTCTCAGCGGCTTTCCGGCTGAGCCGCTTCAGCCCGCGTCTCTCTCATCTGCGCAGCTTCCCGGCTTTGCGCGGCTTGGCTTCGCGCGCTCCGCGGTCTCCACGCCCTTCGCGTCTGCACCACGGCCTCGCGCCAGCCCCGTTCCCTATCTATTCACGCCCCGTGCTCTCTCTGCACGCGGCGGCTTCCGCGAGTAACACAGCGTAGCTTACATGTCCGCCACTAGCATTCAATCTAAGTTCCCCGGGCTAGCCTGGCGAATTCAACCCAGCATACGTCTCCGCCCCACGGTTTGGCTTCCCGTCCTTTGCTCCCCGGGCTAATCAGACGGATCCCAATCTGGCTTACGTTTCAGCTTCTGGTTTCAACTTTTCGCCCCCCATTCCCGGGCTAACTTGAGAATCCCAAAGTGGCTTTCGTTTCAGCCTCGGCCTGCCCCCCGCGGCTTCAATTTCCCTAACACTTTTCTCTACCCGGTATGTTTCCCTAAGTTTTCTTCCAACAATATTCCTCCCTCATTTCTCCTGGCCTCTCCCCACAGTCCACATCCGAGTCTGTTTGTTCTAGCTTTCACTTTCGCTTTCGACCTTAGAGATTTCTCCCAGCTTCCCCCCGTAGTCCGTATCCGAGTCTATGCCTAGGCTTTCAATAGCTTCTTCCGGCTCCTTTTTCGTCCGGCTTTTCCCTAGGCTGTTTGCTAGTCTCTCCGATATTTTCCCTAGGCTGTTTGCTAGTTTCTCTCTCCGATATTTTCCCTAGTTCTTCCCGTTTCTTCCCTCCTAAGTTTCATATCCGTCCTAAGTTTCCTATCCAAGCTAGGTTTCCTATCCGAGTCACGGCACCATTATGTCGCTCCCCCTCTTCGTGGAGGAACGACACAGGACCCTGCGCTGTTCTTTCGTCTGCTCGGCCTTCCCTGGGTTTGCTGCTGGTTCTTCCCGGGTTGGCTACTATCCCTTCCACCTCCGTGGAAGGGCAGTTCCCCCTGGCCACATTCCCCACTTCCGCAGGGGAGTGGCACACCGCCGGCCGGCTTTCTCGGGGGCTGCACGGGTTCCCTTAGATGTTCCCCATAGATGTTCCTGGTGCATGCCGTCTCTCTCCTCCTTTATAGTCCTCCTCCGCCAATCCCAACTCGGCTGCCCACACGCCGAGTACGCTGCTCTCCAATCAGGAGCAAGTCCTACAGTTTATTAGTTGAACTGGAGGCAGCTGTGCGGAAGCTGTTTACTTCTCTCCCAGTGCCATATTGTGGGAGAGCAGATGCATAGAATAAGTCTTAATTCCAGTAACTCAGTCTAGTCCGGGTTGCTCCCCACAGGCTTTACTCCCTAAACTATGCTGTGGTGGGGTGGAGTCCCTAGCCCCTTAACTGGAAACTTGGGAGAAGCATCCAGACACACCCTTAACCCCGCCTCACTGAACTGTGTGTGAAATGCAGACTTGCAGAGTAATCAGCCATCAGAGGAAGCCGGGCAGGTGTCCACACTCTTCCAGAACACCGGGTGCTGCCGTCCGCCAGAGCCAACCGTGTTGTGGGGTTGATGTTAGGCGAGCACTGAGAAATCCAGATGACCTTGAACTTTCTGTGCCTGAAGAAACCCTGCACACACTTTCAGTCTTTCACTTCTGTGTGGTCCTCTCAGAGGGCGGAGTCCCACGCTCATGTGGGATTTTACCTTAGAGTTTGATGAGCCACAAGTTTTTTAAAATATTTATTTGAAAGTCACAGTTACAGAGAGAAGGAGAGAGAGAGGAATCCATCTGCTGGTTCAGTCCCAATGGGCCCTCACATCCGGAGCTCGGCTGATCCCCAGCCAGGAGCCAGGTGCTTCTTCTGAGTCCCCCAGATGGATGCAGGGGCCTAAGCACTTGGGCCATCTTCTGCTGCTTTCCCAGACCATAGCAGAGAGCTGGATCAGAAGTGGAGCAGCCAGGACTCGAACTAGTACCCACAGGGGATGCCGGCAATCAGGTGGCAGCTTTATGCATAACGCCACAGCGCCAGCCCGGATCCATTAACTGTGACCTCCCACATCTGAGCCCACGTGTCATCGCCTCCTCTGGTGAGTGCAATTTTGAATCCATCTTGAGTGACTGTAGTCCCGCCCATGTCCTGGCACAATTGGTAAAGGTCAAGGGGAGTGAATCCTGGAGTCACCGCCCTCTAGGTGGGCTCCTGTGGACACTCAAGGCCACTGAGCTGTGTGTGGTCCCTGGAGAGGAACAGCACAGAACCGCACGGGAGCCTGCAGGGCGGTGGGCAGGGCTGCGGGAGGCCGGAGCCCCTTCCCAGAATGTGCGTGGGAGCCTGGAGAAGAGCACAGCCAGCGGCCCACCAGGGTCCCTGCCCCTGAGCAGGATTCCTGCAACCCCAGGTGAGCTCCGCCCACTTCCTGGCATACTTCCAGGTCCCCATGTCTCGCAATGCAACTCAGCGTGGCCCTCTGATGAGCCGCCTCCACGTCACCCTGTCGGGCTGCCCTGTGCTGCTGGGTCACCAGGGGAGCCCCACAGGGGCCGGGCCACGCAGCACCCACAGACTGGCGAGCTTCTCCCTACAGCAGCAGGTCCGTGGCCCACACTGCGCCATGGCCTGTGCCGCTGCACCCGAGCAGTCTCTGATCTGGTCTAGAGGTCCACTGAGCCTCAGGGGTGTGGGTGAGGCCCGTCCTGGGCAGGTCCTGTCCAGTGCTGCATTGCTCCCCCGCTGTGGGAGCCCGGCCTGGAGCAGCTGGCCAGGGCGCTGGGCAGACCCCGAGTCCCTGTGTGACCCTGTCAGGGCCTCTGCAGGGATCAACCAGGGCACTGCTGGGTCAGGAGGGAAGAGGGGCAGGGCTGCACCCTGGCTCCGCCCACACCCTTCTCCCTCCTGCCCTGCAGTCCCACCGCCCTCACTCTGGGTGTCTGGCCCAGGAGCCCAGGCCCCGCACCCGATTCCCATCTACGCCTACTCTCAGCGTCCCCGTGACCTACCCAGCTCCTGCTCAGGTGTGGCTTCCTCACTCTCACCCCAGCTCCAGGGTGGCTCTGGGCTTGAGCAGCCAGCAGCGCTGAGGCAGACACAGCGGTAGCGCCCAAGTACACCTCAGCCATGAGAGGGTGGAGAACTTGACCTTGTTTCCGGGCTCCAGGGGAATTGCTCTGTCCCAGGGCTCTGGGATTCCCTCTCTATGCAGACAGCACTCCTGGGCCTCCAGGGTCCCCAACACCACAGGGCCCCAGGACTGCCCAGGGCGATCACAGAGCCTGGCTCAGCCCGGAGGCTGGGTCTGGGGAGGGTCCCTGGAAGGAAACCAGAGGCTGGGTCCCAGGACCACGTCCCCTTGCAGGCCAGGACCCTCCCAGATGCCCTCCTCACCAGACAGGGCTGCTGTCCCCACCCCAGCTGCCCGGGGTGGCATGTCCCATGGTGGGGGAGGGGGGGACCGGCACAGTGGGGGCACTCTCACCTGCCTGCACTCGGGTCCTGGGCCCGCACAGCCCTGGAGGAGAGCTCCCCGTGAGAGGGTTGCCCTGCCCCTGCGCAGGTCCTCTCCTCCCCGGGGCTCCTGAGCCTGGGGTCTCCAGGGAGCAGGGCCTGGCTGTGGGCGGGGGCAGGGTCCCTCCCAGAGCAGGGTCTCCCCTCCCCGTCTTCCTGTCTCCCCAGGCAGAGCAGGACCACGAGGGCGGGGGTCATGGCGTCCTCTCCGCCGGCCCCGGCACAGCGCCCGCGGCAGGGACACACACCGGGTGTGGACGCTCGGAGGCCGGGTCCTCCCAGTATCGCAGGGCTGTTTAGCCCGCAGCCCCACAGGAAGGGGCACCGCCCCCACCCCAGCCAGGCCCTCAGTCCCCAGGATGGGGGCACAGGCTCCCTGCAGGGATGGGGCCCCGCCCCGCCCTGTCAGCCGGCTCCGCCCTCCTCTCCCAGGGCCAGGACCCAGCACCAAGGACACGGGCCTCCCGGAGCCGCCCCTCAGGTGGGCTGATGCGCCCCGGGGTGGGGTCGTCCCCGCCCTCAGCCCCTCCTGTGGGGTCGCAGCCCGGCCACTTCCGGAGGACGCAGGTGGGCACAGACCCGCTCCCGCCCGGCCCGGAGGTCCCGGGGCCCGACCCAGGGCGGGGGAGGCCCGGACGCCCCCTCCGCCGCGGACGCCGCTCCCACGCCCCTCAGCCACAGCTTCCCCTGACCCGACCACCCCGCTGCGGGGCCCTGAGGCCTCCCAGGACCTGCGCCGCCCCCTCCCGGGCCTGCCCTGACTCCCGGGGGAGGCGCCCTCACTGCGTCCCCTCACACACCCCTCTGCCCTGAGCCTCAGCTTCCCCGTGTGGGCGGACACGGACTCACCTGAGGCGGCCTCCTGCTGACACACACCGACTCTGGACTGCGCAGGCGCATGTCGATAAGGGATTGCGCAGGCGCACACCTCCACTGGCCTCGGGGGACACAGCCCAACACGTGACTGTACAGGCGCCCAAGACAGGACTGCGCATGCGTATGATGACACGCTACTCAGACACACGACGACACGTGACTGCACAGGCGCACGCCGACATGCTGCGCTCACACGTCACTGAGGGGAGTGCGCGCTGCTTTGCCGCTGTCTCTGTAGAGGAAGAGTGCGGGTCCTTGTAGGAAACGTGAGCCCTGACTGCTGCTCTGCGCGGCCCTGCAAGTCCTCGCCAGAGCAGGTGGGCGAGAAGAAGCCACAGAAAGCGTCCGAATTGGGAAGGAAGAAGCCAGGTCGGCTCTCTTTTCCGATGACGTCATCTTACCTAAGACTACCTCTCTTTGCTGATGACGTCATCTTACCCAAAGACAACCCAACGTCTCAACCAGAAGCTGCCCTCACTGGTCACCGTCAGGTCGCAGGATCGCAGTCCACACACGAACTCCCGTCAGCGCTCCAAGGGAGATCCACACAGCTCCACTTAGCAGAGCCCAGACCTCCAGCAGCCTGGAGTGAAACAAAACTCATGATTTACATGGAAACACAAAAGCCCCATTTGGGCAGTGGGCAAAGGACTTGAATTGACGTTCCGGAGAGAAGATGTGATGACTGACAGGGGGATGCAAAATCTCTCAGACAAAACAGCTCTGTCTGTGTCTGATGAGCTGTGACTTCTGGTAATGTACTGAACACCATCGATTCTTTAGTATCAAGCGGCCGGTGCCTGCCTTCACCACCAACAGCCAACCGGTGTGGTCATGACGCCTGCATTCTCTCTTCTTATAGGAACGAGTACACTTTGTGACCGTTTTGTTGGGAGTCTAAGTTTACGAGAGCATCCGTCGCAGGATTTCCCCATCTCACGGTTGCCGTCTCCGGTTTTGATTGCACTCTCTCCTTGCCTGATAAAACGTTCCTTTTTCCTGTCCTCGGGAACAGTGTATGTAAATTTTGGAGTGTGTGGGCATGCATGCGTATGTGTGTTTGCTACCTGCATAAATACGTGTGAGGAATTCCCATGAAGCTTTGCACCTGGTGTTTAGACTGAGGGAGAATGTTGGATTCCCGAGTCACGGCGTCGTCAGGTGTCAGGGCACATTTTGGTCAGCCACAGTCGCCTGTACGCCGGCGCCCCCAACATTCTAATGAAGCTGACAGCTGCCGACCTCATCGCACTCTTGCTGCACGGCTTCTGCGTGCAGAGTCCTAGATACGCAGGTCTGCACCACTGCAGGAGGACGCCCGGCCCCCGGTGGATATTCTCATAGGAATACAGCAGCGAGCTCTGCCGTTCCCAGCCCAGGAGTGAACGGCGGAGTTCAGAGCCCAGAGTGAAGTAGGCGCCATCATGCAGGTGTGTGCCGGGACTCCTTGATGTCCCATGACCAGACTCACCCAGCACAGGTTCCTAGAGCCGAGTCCCACCAGTACAGGACACGTGGATGGATTTACTACAACTCCCTGTTCCCATAGTTCGGTTCCTTTTATTTATTTATTAAAGATTTATTTATCTACATTTTTGAAAGGCAGAGTTACCGGGGAAGCGGGGGGATGTGGTCTTCCGTCCACTGGTCCACTCCCCAGATGGCTGCAGTGGTTATGGTAGACCAAGCTGTAGTCAGGGGCTTGGAACTCCATCCAGGTTTCCACATGGGTGCAGGTGCCCAAGCACGTGGACTTCTCCTGCTGCTTTCTCAAGTGCATCAGCCGGGAACTGGATTCTGTGGAGCAGCTGGGACTCGAACCCGTGCTCCCGTGTGGGATGCTGGCGTCTCAGGCAGCACCTTCACTCGCTGAGTCACAACGCCAGCCCAGGTTCAATTATTATTTTTCTCCCAAAGAAACCTTTCATTTAATGAATACAAATTTCATAAGTACAACTTTAGGAATAGAGAGATTCTTCCCACACTCTCACTCCTCCTCCTCCACCGTCTCCCACTCCCAGTCCCATTCTCCACTAAGATTCATTTTCTTTCAAATGTATTTTTTTAAAGATTTATGTATTTAGTTGAAAGAGTTACACAGAGAGAAGGAGAAGCAGAGAGAGAGAGAGAGAGAGAGAGAGAGAGAGAGAGAGAGAGAGGTCTTCCATCCACTGGTTCACTCCCCAATTGGCCACAAGAGCTGGAGCTGCACCGATCTGAAGCAAGGAGCCAGGAGCTTCCCCTAGGTCTCCCAAAGGAGTTCAGGAGGCCCAGGACATGGGTCATCTTCTACTGCTTTCCCAGGCCAATGCAGAGAGCTGGATCAGAAGTGGAGCAGCCAGGACTTGAACCAGAGCCCATATAGGATGCCGGCGCTTCTGGCCAGGGCGTTAAACTGCTGTGCCACAGCGCCAGTCTCTCCAATCAATTTTATACTAAGACCAACTCTATACTAAGTAAATATTTCAACAATTTGCACACACACACACGCACACACAGTGTTGAGAACTAGTTTTACAGTTAATTCTTACAATACAACTCATGAAGATCAGAGGTCCTGCATGGGGAGTTAGTGCACAGTGATTCCTGTTGTTGATTTAACAATTAACACTCTTATGTATGATGTCAGTGATCATCCGGGGCTGCTGACATGAGCTGCCTTGGCTATGAGAGCCTTTTGGAGGCCAGCGCTGTGGCATAGTGGGTTAGGCCACTGCCTGCAGTGCCGGCATTCCATATAGGCGTCAGTTCGAGTCCCGGCTACTCCACTTCTGATCTGGCTCTCTGCCATTTCCTTGGAAAGCAGTAGAAGATGGCCTTCCTTTGGCCCTGCACCTGCATGGGAGACCCGGAAGAAGCTCCTGGCTCTTGATTTCAGATCAGTGCAGCTCCAGCCGTTGCAGCCAGTTGGGAACCAGTGGATGGAAGACCCCTCTCTCTCTGCCTCTCCTTCAATATCCATGTAACTCTGACTTTCAAATAAATAAATAATCTTTCTTTTTTATTTAAATAAAGCCTTTTGAGTCTGCAAAAATGGTCTGAATTTAGACAGGGCCATCAGCAAAATGGGAGATCTCTCCTCCCTTCAGAGAAAGGCGCATCCTTCTTAGATGGCCCCTTCTTTCCACCAGGATCTCACCCACAAAGATCCTTCATGTAGGTAATTTTCTGTTTCATTTTCAGTTCTCTGAATCCTGAGGTGTTCGCTCTTCCTGTGACGACCCGCATCCCTGAGGTCACCCTGTGTCTGCAAAGGCAGGGTTTCGTCTGCTGCATGCAGAGAACAGAGCCTGCTACAGAGGGGAGCGGGACTGTACGGGCATCTCTCACACAGAATCAAGCGGCCACAAGGAGGGAGAGGATGCCAGTGCCAGGGGAGCCACTGAATCCTACCCCGCAGGAGGGCTGCCACAGGCGAGGCCATGGGTGCTGGCGAGGGTGCGGAGGAGAGGGAAGCCTCGGGCGCTGCTGAGGGGACCTGGGATGGCTCAGCTGCTTCGGGAAAGAGCTTGCAGCTTCCTGCAAGTATTTAAGTGGACCACGCTCGGACTCCCCAGTCCCATTCTGGGCGCTGAGATCAGGGCTGGCGCTGGATGCAGCAGGTGAAGCCGCCGCCCACAACACCAGCATCCTGTACCAGAGCTCGGGGAGGGGTCCCCGAATGCTCCTCTTCTGATCTAACTGACCTGAAGGCAGGAGCCAGGAGCTTCTTCCAGGTCTCCTATGTGGGTGCAGGAGCCCCAGCACTTGGGCCATCCTCTGCTGCTTCCCCCAGCTGCATAGCAGGGAGCTGGACTGCAGGCAGAGAGGCTGAGACTCCTACTGGTGCTGCACTGTGGGGCACTGGTATCGCAGCTGGCGGCTTTAACCTGGGCCATGACCCCGTCTCCAGGCCCCACATTCTTTAACCTGGTCTGGAGCAGACCAGGAAACCAGTGCTCCCCAGATCCTGTGCCCACGGCTTGTCTTTGCAAGACCGAAAGAAGCCTTTGGAATCTGGAGCAAACAGCATACAGGCCAGGACGCTTCGGGTCCGTGGGCTCAGCAGGGGTGGTCTTTGCCACCTGTGGGACGCCGGGTGGTGCTTGGGGATGCTCGTGGGCTGCTGCTACCCACGCCTCAGTGCACAGAAGGCCCTGGCCAAACCACACCACACGGAAGGTTCCAGAAACCCTGTTACAGAATGTGACAGTGGTCCTCAACCAGGGACACTTCTGCTCCCTAGGGGGTCACTGTTGGAGACAGGTTTTGTGGCAAAACAGAACAGGAGATTCGCCACACTCAGGGCTTCAAGGAGAACAGTGAGACATTAGGCATTCACAGCACAGCTCCACCGCCCCCGCCCACTCTGAGAGCATCTGCATCCAGCACAGGAGCCCCCTCCCCAAGCGGCCCCTCTGCCCCCACCCTCAACCCCACCCCCTGAGTCTGCCAGTCTCTCTGTCACTAGGGATTCAACCAGTGAGATCGCACCTGGGGCAGTGAGACCCCACCCACATCGGTGAGACCTCTCCCACACAGGTTGGTGACACCCCAACCATATCGGGGAGACCCCACCAAGATAGTGAGACCCCACCCGGGACAGTGAAACCAAACCCACTATGGTGAGACCCTTCCCACCCACATCAGTGACACCCCACCTGGAGTAGTTAGACCCTACCCAAGTCAGTGGGACCTCACCCACTATGGTGAGACCCCTCCCACCAGGTCAGTGACACCAAACCTACAACAGTAGGACCCCAGCCAGGACGCTGAGACCCCACTCACGTTGGTGGGACCATACCACTGTCGGTGAGACCCCACCAGGGTGGGAGAAGCTCTGGCACTTGGCCTGTGCCAGGGCTACAGACTCCAGGGCCACCAGGCAACTCCGTTCCCCACCTCATTGGGCACAAAGGGTCCCTGGAGGACAGGTCTGGGGTCCCGAGCTCAGTCTCAGCACGAGGAGAGGAGGGAAGCCCCCGGTCTCAGGGAGTTCCAGGGTCCATCCATCGCCCTGGGTGATCATCACTGGACTTCCAGGGTAGCAGCTAAACGAGCCTCTGTCTGTCACCCAGCCTGTGGCACTCGGGTACAGCGGCAGGAAAGAGACTGTGGGGGGCACCCCGCAGGCCAAGGGAGGGAGAGATCAGGACAAAGCCCACGACGGGAAGCAGCCCTGAAGTGACCTCAAATACTTCACGGAAACCCAAGCTGCGCTGCGAGTGTGCGTGAAGTTTCAGCCGCAGCCTTGCTATGGAGGACAGGGCTGTTTGCTTTGTCAGGGGAGACCAGGGTGGGGCAGCGGTGGCTGAGCAGGTGCACACGCCAAAGAGCGGATCTGCCTCAGCAGGCTGTCACTTCACCCCCACCCCCCAATCCGTGCAGGTGACCCCGCTCTGCGGCACAGCACAGACGTCGCAGTCCATGCCGGCCTGGGCACGGCCGGCTCCCTCCCGGGTCCTCCACCTGCAGAGCCAGTCTTCAGCCAGGAGCCACGTCAGAGCCACCAGGACCAGGACAGCCAGGCCGATCCGCAGGAGGTTCTGGGCGGTGTGATCCCAGGCGGCTGGGGCTGGAGCAGAGGGGCCGCTGATGGGATGCAGCACTGCACCCACCCGCTCCTCTCCCCTCACCTCCCAGACCTTCCTCCTGCCCCCACCCCGCATGAGCCCCGCTACTCACCGTCCTGGACTCTGGACACTGTGGGTCCGAGACGGGGTTCCGAGAGCTGCTGTGGGAAGGGAGGGTCGGCTTTGGCTTCCGCCTGCCCAGCCTCTCCTTCCTCAGCCCAGCCCCGCCACACCCCGCGGCTGTCCAAGTCTCCACCCCATGCCTCACAGGGGTCCCAGCGGCCTCACCCCGCGGGCAGGAGCCCCAGGCCCCAGGCAGAAGCTGGCGCTGCACTATTGCGCATGCGTCTCCGTGCCTCCCACCCCGACGGGGGCTCTGCGCCCCCCTCACGCGGGTCTTTCTCCACACGGCGTCAAATCCAAATGCCAGCCCCCGCCCACCAGCCTCCTGGCCAGTCCCTCGTCACCGGGTCCCCTTCCTGACTTCCGGCACTGCTGGGTCGCCCCCTCTCTTTCTGGAAATCTCTTCGTTCTGAGAACCATGGGCTAACAGGCTCAGTCAGCCAGTGTTCACCCAGATGTCTCCTGCATGTGCCCAGCCAGGCGGCCCTGCTTACCCTCCAGGGTCCCCCTTCCAGGTCACCAGCCCTCCTTGTGTGCGATACCAGGGGGCTTCTAAAACTTCATGGACACAGAGTTAAAAGAGAAGTTTATGGGGGCCAGCGCTGTGGTGTAATGGGCTAAAGCCTCCGCCTATAGCACCAGCACCCCATATGGGCACCGGTTCGAGTCCCCTCTGCTCCACTTCTCTCCAGCTCCCTGCTAATGTGCCTGGGAAAGCAGCAGAAGGTGGCCCAGTCCTTTTACCCCTGCACTTTCCATGAGCTCTCTGAACTGCCCTCATATAACACATTTCTCTCTCCCGACACCCACCCATGGACGTTCCATCCACTCCAGCCAGGACGCTTGTGCCCCAGAGACCAGGAGGTTTTTCTGGTTGATGGACACTGCTGTATGGGTTGCCCGTCCCTTATCCAAAATGCTAGGGACAGTAAGTGCTCCAGATGGGCTTGTACTGGGATTTGGAATATTCCCATACACACAGTGAGGTCTCCTGGAGACTGCGCCCATGTCTTAAACACAAGATTCCCTGCGTGTCACAGACCCCAAGGACACAAGCTCTGGGTAACTTCTCATCATGTCCCTAGTGCACCTGCGTTCTGCATATGGACCAGCATGAGAGGGAGGGTGTGGGTTTCACTGCCAGCGGACTGTTGGCACTGAACACCACCACACTTGGGGCACCTGCACTGTACTGTGCAGGCGGGGAAGCCCACGGCTCCCACAGGCACACACAGGAAGGCTCCAGCTCTCCCGAACGTGGAGGAGCAAGCTACTCACCGGGATCAGGGGCGGGGTCTGTGGGTTCCAGGCTGGGGTCTCCCACATCTGGAGACAGAGATGAAGAGGACAGGTCGGGGCTGGGGGCTTCCTCTGCTCCCTACATTCTCCTTCCCTGGCACTCTGGGGTGGACTTCCCTTCAACAGGACCCTGGGGTTTCTTAGGAGCCCAGGGGGACCCTCGGAACTGGGGGCTTCCTCACCTGGACCAGGAGCTCCGGGCTCACTGGGGAAAGGACCACACATGGCCGTATAGGCGCCAAAACACCTGTACGTGCATGTGTGTGCCGAGGTCACAGGGCCCACGGGGAACTCCGCTGGCACGCCCCGTGGGCTGCCCTGTGCGTGGCTGGGCCGCCTTCCCGGAGCAGGAAGAAGGTGTTGGTCACCGTCTTAGCTGGCAGGAAGTAGAAGGTCACATTCTCTCCCGAGGTCACCAAGGACCCTGGCAGAAACCCATAGGTGGGCGTGTCGTACATTCCTGCCACGCGAAGGCTGGCCAGTCGTCTTCCTGCCTCCCAGGCTCCACCCCTGCAAACCTCGGACCCTCCTCCTGCCCCCACACCGCCCAGCACAGACGCCGGCCCTCCCCAGCCGTGCTCCCTGGTGGAGCCGCTCAGTGCAGGAGTGAGGATGGACTCTCTGGGAGCCGCTGTCCACGGGGGTTCCCAGAGATTGGCTGCTATGTCCACAACGCCAGCACGGCCTGGGGCAGACGATGGCCAGGGGCCACCTCAGAGCCACCAGTCAGAGACTCGGGTGGGGCGGCCGTTTGCTTATGTCTTTGGGGGAAACATACATAATATAGAATTCAGCATCTTAACAGCTTTAAGCGTCGCCCCGTGTCTCAACTTCTTTTGCAAGCTCAGCCCGTTCCCTCGCATGCGGTGGCCCACGTTTGCCACGCCTTCCCCAGGGGACACTCGCTGCTTGCAGCTCTCGGCCTTCTGATCCAGGCTGCCGTGACGGGGCCAAAGCTCTCTGTGTTTGTCACGAGCCCCCTGCAGATCCTACCAAGTGCTTCAGTCTGACACAGGTCCCCGGCTGTAGGGAGCGCCCTGGCCCAGACACCTTCCCTCCGTGGGAGCGCCCTCCCACAGGACAAGCCTCTCTGTCTGCCGGCCTGCTTCTCTGTCCCAGGGACCTGGGTGCCGTCCTCGGTAGGAGCCCTGCACCGATGCCCTGCTGGGCTTCCCTGTCCTGCAGGCTCTTCCCAGAGGAAGCGCCCCCTTCACACCTGCAGAGCATGGCTGGGTGGGGCCGCCACCTGCCCCCACCATGCATGGCAGCGGGCAGACTCACCGGTGACACAGATCCAGGGGCTCGCTGGGCTCCGACCAGAGCTCCCCGTTGCGACAGAAGCAGCGGTAGCGCCCTGCAGTGTGCGAGGTCATGGCCATGATGGGGAACCAGAGTCCGCCCCTCACTCAGGTCTCCCCCAGGCAGAGAGGCCCCCCTCAGAAAGCAGCTGGTACTCCTCGGCGCCGGGGGGCCCCTGGCACCAGATGGCTGCTGGCTTCCCCTCTGGAATCCTGGAGTCGGGCTCGGCCCAGATGCTGGGTGTGGTCAGTGCCTCTGGAAGGGAATTGGAACCTGAGCTTCCGGAAGGACCCTGCCCCAGCACCCCCCTCCCACCAGCCACAGCCAAGCCCACTCCCAGTTTTCCCAGTGGTGTTGACTTCCTGGGGACCTGGAGGGCAACCCTGGGGTGGTGAAGGGAGGACTCACGCATCTGGGTGCTGATTCTCCAGCTCAGACACAGACCTGCGAGGCAGGATCCATGGGTCCTGTTGCCCCCCACCTGTACCCCCGGCCTCCATCGCCCTCCTGTGCCGGGACTCACCGAGGCAGAGCAGGTCCGTGTGCGGAGAGGGCCTGGTACAGATTTGGGCGGGAGGTGCGGCGTGGCCAGCTGGCGAGGAGCACAGGATGTGGCGGGCAAGGCCTTATGCCAGTCACCCCGGGGATTTCACACTGATGTTTTTACAGGCAGGGCCACAGCCCTCCCTCCGCCACCTGACCACGACCGCACGGCAAATCCAACCACACCTGTCTCTGTACTGGAGAAAATAGGGTTCTTGTCTTGACACGAGAAAGGATTCAGGCGTGAGACAGAGAGTAGTGGGAAGTAAATAGCAAGGTTATTAGGGCAGGGAAATCGTAAGGACAGATGGGCACCTCTCCACAGAGCTGAGAGGGCCCAGTCACTCGGACTGGCGGGGGATAGTGAGGTTACATGGTGAGTGGAGAGAGTACACTGGGCAGGCAGTCAGGCGGCTCAGCGGAGATGCAGAGGGCTGAGAACACTGTCCAGTTGAGGCCGGGGGTTTTTAAGGAGATGGGTCTTCACACAGCTCCTCCTGAAACAAAGGATTTATGGCTGTAAATATTAAGAAGCTCCTATTGAGTTTTCCCCTGAAGTATCAGACAGGAGGAAGCCTAGCTGGCGCCATCCTGGTTCAGAGGAAGGGTGAGCAGGACCCCTAGAGAATGGGATCCGGAGCAGGGGGTTTGAGATGCAGGTACTGGGCTGCATCTGGGAGATTGTGGAAGATTTGTCAGCAGAAGGGGCGGGACCTCCACCTGGCAGGTTATCAGGTAGGAGGGGGCAGGCAGGATGCGAAGGCCGGGCTGCCCTGAAACATTATCGGGATGACTTTGAGATGCAGCATCTGCTGGACATGACGTTCTTCTCTTTAGGCCTGTCATACAACACATAAGCCTACCCAACTTCTACCCAACACAAACCACAGTGTCTGTCAGCTTCCAACACCACGCTGCTCCCTCCCAGAGCTCCGTCCATTGCTGGCCTGGGTAGCCCCTGTTGTCTCTGGGGTGCCACAGGGCCGGGTCTGGTGGGTTCATAGTGCATCTGCAGCTGTGAACAGGGGGATCAGACTGGGGGCACAGTCATGGGGCAGCCCTGGGAGGTCACCGTGCCACCACATGCAGGGGAGGCGAGGGAGAGAATGGGGGTTCTGTGACCCTGCTTTAA